TTTTGATATGGTTTTCTTTCAATTTGATCCATTTATGTACTTCAAAATAATTCAGAAATACATACTTTTCAAGTTGGAAAAACGTTGCAAGGATTTTTTTTTAAATAGTGTTTGATTTTGGGCTTTTCCTCCTCTTCAAGTTTGTTCTTGAAATATATGTTCATTACAAAATTCTTTCTAACGAAAAATTCATTTAATTGGTTTTGAAGTCGGCAATATAGTATAACAGAGTTCGACCTTTTTTCTTATACTTGTGCATTGCATATGATTATTTACATTCATAAGTGGCCCTAATGGATTAACACTAAATAAAAAAATTAATTTTTCTTGAAATATTTGAAATCTTCAGTAATATACAACATTGGTGAAATATATCCTAATTTAAAACATTAATGTTTCACATAATCATTTAAGAATCGTTGAATAAATTTTGAATCTACATTTACAAACATTGGTTGCGTTAAATCATTGAATCAATTGCTTTTATTGATTAGAAGTTAATGAAATCGTTGAGTGAAACGAATTGTCAAATATCACACCGGTCCTTATCAACTATCGATATATGTGGTCATGCGCAAATAGTTTATCATAGTTTATGCAACTATAAATGTATTTAAGATGACTACAATAAAACTTGTCAATAGTCACTAATCGAAACAATACCAGCTGTATTAATATGTTTTTAGTTTAAAAAAGCGTGATCATTTTTTTTCAATAAAATTGGTGTATTACATCTTGTCTAAAAAAGCTGACTTTAAATCACTCTGTATTCGCTCAGTACGTTATTCTTTCAACGGAGTTTTTAGTGAAAATCTAATGACTTAACCTATTAAAAAAGTAGTGAATCAAATATTATTTGAAAACTTGCCAATGCCTGTATTTTATTTCGTTCGATATTTAGATGCGTGTTGAATGATTTGAATAAAAGAGACGAAGTTCTTTGCCTATTGTTTTTTAAGAAGATAAGTATCGATATGACGGGCGTCTGTATTGTGCAGAGCGAAATTTTATTATGCATGTTCGAAGTAGCCACGAGATTCACTAATCGTTTCTTGCTTTTCGTTGTGACCAAAGTTTAAGTTTTCGTTCTCTACAATCATTCTCCTATTACACTGATGTTGTACTTACACATATTCACTATTCTGATATGATTTTCTAGGTTTTTCTCATGTGTATATCTTGTCTTTAACACCTACTCGACTGGTAGCGGGCAAGATATTTTATTTCCACATGGGAAGTTACAAGAAACCTTCTGTGATATACAGTGATAGTAGAAGCAACATTCTATTTTTCTAACAGTTAATATTACTTTAGAATTTAGAGTGGGTTTAGATATAGGTGAGTGTGAATGGATATGAAGTTTGGTGCAGGTGAGTGCAGAGTATAAGTCTCAATATGGATCTGAGCGTGAATTTTCTCTTTATCCATACTGTCGCCCATACCCACTCACATTCCCTATTTCAATCATTATATTTCAAAGCATCAGTCTTTATGTCGTTGCCGCAATCACAACTGCAACGAAACATTCACTTTTTCTTTCTTTCTCTCCCATTTACCTTCGTTTTGAATGACGCGCTCTTTGAAAGAAGAAAGAAAAAACAAATTTACGAATGAGGTTTTCCATTAATTTTAATAGCACTGATCTCGTTCGAGCATTATGTTCAAAAAATGCTTACTGGTAACGTGCATTGTGCTTGTTTGCGAAGCAAGGACAATAGAAACAAAGAAACACAAAAGATACTCTTGTTGCCTTCGGTAAGTATTGAATCATACATGCACAGAAACTTTCGTACATTAGAAATGTTCAACCAAAAATCAGAGTCTATTTGGAGCGTTATTTATTTGTATATGTGCGATTAATAACTTATGTGTCAGCAGATAAAGACAAGAACAAATTCATAGAAGCTGGCAATTTCAATGAGTCCGAAACTACACATGCATCTTGACATAATAAACCTTTGCACATGCATTAACATTACAAAAAATATTATCTAGTAGTTGACAGAGTTTCGAAAAGCATTTACATAATCTAATAATAATATTTCGATAAAAAGTTTGAGATCAAATATGATTAGATACAACACTGTTCACATATGATATAAGCTGGGCTCCGATTCATCCTATAATTCCTATAATTCCTATTTTTTTGACAAATCCTATATTTTGTCCTATATTTCGATTGATTTTCCTATTTTTCCTATATTTTGTCAAAAAAAGTGGAAAAATTTTACGAGATTTGACTTTGCCCTGAGGAGGAGTACGGGGATCTTCGCGGCGCTACCCGCCCACCCCCCGCCCTCGATGATCACTTTTTACGAAAAAGCCAGGTAATGTGAATAGCTGTTTCTTGCAAGTAAAGCACATACATTTGAGATGCAGTTCAACGTACAATACCTAAATTTTGGTCAATTTTTTACCTTTTTTTCGTGAAAAGAATCGTATAATTCAGAAAACGAAATCCTATATAGGAATTTCTATAATTTCGAAAATTTGTAATCGGAGGCCAGTACATGGGGCTAAACTTTTGATCGCTGGAGGTTGTCAGGCCATACGATTACGGGGGGAAGGAGAGGATTTCCCCTCCCTAATTCTTTTTTAAATTATAGCTTTCTCCCTGAAAATTTTACGAACACTTAGCGGCTTTTTATCTTTTAGTAGGTCGAATGAACTATACCTAAGAGAACCAGTTCTTTTCTCTAATGCAAAAAACTTTCTCTTAATATCATAAGGAGAACTAGTTGATGTGTCATCAAGAGACTTAATCTAATAAATCGTTGAGAGAAAATAGTTCAATTTCAAAGAGAAAATAGTTCAAATTAAAAGAGAAAATGAGTCGGTTTCAAAGAAAAAAGAAATCAATCCGTACTTAAAACAACACTGCTTGTTTAATCCTTTGGGGACGGGGTTACTGTACTATATGAAGCACACATATGTGCTTCCCGTCCCCAAAGGGTTAAAGATTTCTCCTATCTATTCAGAAATGCTTTTGATTAATGTAAATGTAATGGCACGTATGTTCAAGTCATACAACTAGGGGGTGGAAGATGGGGGATTTCTACCAGATAATTTTTTCCTTGCGTTCTACCTTTCTCCCTGGAAATTTTCGTTAGCTGCTGTTTAAGGCGTTTTCAATAGAGAAAATATACTAAAAACATGCTAAAGAGAAAGGATTCTCCTTAATTTTCAAATTGAAACAGTCGTTTTCTTCTAAAAAGAAATTTTACTTCAAGATTTCAAAGAAAAGCAGCCGTTTTTTAGAAAGAGAATGCTTTCTCCTTAGGTTTTCAGGGAGAATCAGGCACTTTCTTCCAAATAGAAAGCTTTCTTTGAGTTGTGACTATTTTCTTCCTGACTTTGGGAGGCTTTCTCCCTGGCTTTCTCCCCCTCCTATATAAAACCAAACGAAAGCTCTGGAGGTCGTGAAAAATTAACATCAGTTAATGAACAACAGCAACAACTTACAAATGAGCTCGATAAACTTCGATTAAAAAGAAAATATGCTTTTTTTCATGAACAATCGATCAACAAGAAGCTGAAATCCATCCAACAGAATCAACATAATATAATAGACTTGATAGATAATACTTAATGATTGTTATTCAAGTTTTTTGTCTATTTATAATCGAGTTATATTTTTATAAGTCAAATTTAATTATGAGAAATAGTATTTGTTTTTTTCATGTATTTATTTTTTCAAAGTTTATGATCTACTTTATTGTTATTTATTGATTTGTGAAAAAGTTTTATAATTAAACTTTATAGTGATCCTCGAATTAACGACTTATTTCAGTAGAAAGAAATTACATAAGAATCTTGGTTATGGTTGAGCTGTTTATAACAGCTTCATTAAAACGATTTTCGAGCAGAGAAGTTAAAAAATACCAAAACAATTGAACAGAAACGATCTATAAAAAATCCTATATTTTTGTCATTTTTTATCGAAAATCCTATATTTTTGACAAACTTGATCCTCTAAGGATTCCTATATTTTTAAAAAATCGCAATCGGAGACCAGGATATAAGGGCAGATCCTTATCTTCCAGCCTTTTACTCATAGCCTAAGGATCTTCTCTAAGCACGACAACTATTTCGATACAATGCATTGTCAACTAGATTCTTGTTGTCCTTGATTTGTATTGCATTGTCAATAGAAAGACTAATTAAATTTTTTGTGATTCTTTCTACATGTCCGAATAGAGACTGACTACCATGCTTTATACATCAACATTTCAAAGTGCTCGTGCGTAGAAAAAGAAATGCATTTCACAGTATTTTTCATGCACAGTGAGTTATATACCTTTAGCAGGAATCATCGAAATTTTTTCACGATTGAAAATTTTTTCTACCACATCTTCCACTCTTCTCGCAACAGTTCTGATTACAAGGGATATTTCCTATTGTGACTTGATTGAGTTTTCAAGTTAATAGGTCCCACATAAATCGATTCGGAATTGGTGTTTTTCGTGCATGGGCATTAATATATAAGTTAGAGTATGATGCTAAATAGGTACGATGAAAAGAGACTCAAAAGGTTAGCATTGTAGTAAATATGTAGTCGTTCTTATTTCAGCATATCATCGTCGATCATTGAATGTCAGTTCGATTTGAGTACTACTCTTTCTCAGAGCAAAAAGTGTTGCAGTTTACATAGATTTGTCCAGTTATAATAGAATAATTTAGTTGAAATGTTTTAATTAATGTGAATTGATGAGAATGGCTAAGACGACATTATCTGTACGAACATATTTCCTATTTCTTTCTCATTTAGGTCTGAATATTCATTTTCTGAAAAACCAAGTTCAAGTTTTTCATCGCCAGCTATGAACAAGCGCTTGATATTTACTTTCAGTTTCATCACATCAGTTTTTGTCATTATTATCTTCATCCTTATCACCAACAGTCTGACTGTTATTATGAACAGACCATCCAATGCAATCATTTCATACATTTCTTGGACAAAACCTAGTAAAATAGTTTCAGAATTAGTTGAAGAAAACTTTATGACAGCATTTTCTTATGCATCGAACTCTACACATCTTTGGTCCATGCGCCTTGCAGATAAAGATTATTTTCGAATAGCACGTCTTCTACCATATCGAAATGTCACCTACATAGGTGGACCGAATCCTGACACGATCGATTCATGTGATCATTCATCAACAGGCGAATATTCCATTCAAACAGCATTACATGCTCAACGGTGGATTTTCGAGCATCAACATCCGCTAGATTGTTCTAATAAACTATTTGCCATCATTTATAATTTTGCCTGGTCAGGATTTGGTTCGACAATACATCAGATCGTGTGGGCCTTGGGTATGGCATTCGCTGAAGATAGAATAGCTGTCTATGAAACACCAGGCAATTGGGTAAGGATCTTTTTTTTTTCATACTAACTTTCAATGTTTGTGTGATTGTTTGAAATTTTAATTTAGTCATAAACTCTAGTTGAAGGATATTTTAGAGTGAAAGCATGATATTGAAACAATAACTATCATTCGAGAACTGAATACTTTATAGAAGCAGTTTTTTAAGCATGTTGAAGAAACTCAAATTACTAGACGAAATGACAACAGTTGACACCGAAATTGGTAGTTATATCATCCATTGAGCTTTCAACGAAATTATATCCACTTGACTGTCCACTTATTTATTTCAGTTAGGGGATATCTTCATTCTAGCTCTATGGTAGTTGTGCTTTGAGCACTCCTGATTGTCTATTTCTTCCTATCACTAATTGCACGATTCCATCGTCGATTGATGGTATCAAGACTATTCGTATTCCAGCTAATCAAATGTTTTGGTCTCGACCTATTCATCCTTCACTGTTCCAAAATCGAATTTTCAATTGGTACCGTTCACAGCTACTTTTCTATGTCATGCGATACAACTCACAAACACTAGCTCATGTTCAACGAACAATTACTAAATATATTGTGCCTCCATCTCTCAATATTCATCGTCCATATATAGCCGTATATGTACGCCGATCGGACAAGGTACAAAGCAAAGAAATGTCACAAGCATACTCATTAGAACAATACTTTAATCTGTTCGATGCTGATGCTCACCGAGGTAACATCACTAACGTTTATGTGAATTCTGAAGATGTACAAGTATTCAACGAATTCGTTCAACTGAATAATAAGAAACAAGGTTATTATAAACTACTAAGTATTCAAGCGAGTCGAAATATAATATTCAATACCTTGATCGGTATGTCAAGAGAAGAACGTGGTATTGTGGCATTAGAATTCTTGAGCGATCTCTATATCGAAGCACATGCTGATCTTCATGCTGGTACACTTACATCGAATTGGTGTCGACTCGTCGATGAGATGAGACTAGTACTTGGTAAAACGGTACCTTACTACACTCCAGAGAATAAATATTTCTTGGATATGTGTAAGCGTTGCCGTTTGACAACCAACAGTGAACGTGAAATGCATCACATTCGACAGAGATAGAATAGATATCAATAGAAGCTCAATGATCTTGTTTGGTTATCTCGATTCAAAGCTTCATCTACTAACATCGATACCAGTCAATTTGTTTCTGCTTCAGCACCTAATTTTTACTAAGGCTATCCATCGTCAGATTTTGACGAATCCTTGAATATGGACGACGAGGATTCATTCATACTCACACAACACACTTCAACATCCACAATAAAAGAAACTATGCCAGTCCACTGAGGCTTCGATAGCTTAACAGAAAAACTAGTGATAGTGAGTAATAGTGGATACCTCGGGAAATTATTCTTCTGAAATTTCTACAATTTTGTTCTCATACTGAGTGGAAGCAAATATCAATGATTGGACGTTCACGAATGGGTGTGGATATGAGAATCGTCTTCATTCTGATCAGCAAAAACTCACATCTCGAACGTGCTAAATTCATAGTCAAAACTACAGGTGTGTGAATGTTGTTTTCATCTGTTCAGGCACAAATTTCGTAAAAATAATTCTTAAATTAAATTTCCATACCTCATTCAAATATTCATATTCAACTTGATTTTATCGCATACAATATTTTATTGTAATTATTTTGTCAAGTTTCATAGTTATTCATTATTCTTGCAATAAAATTCGTGTTCACTTAAACTTCCATTGTTTTTTGTGTGATTAACTTTTTAATGCTGAATATGTCTATGCTCATCATGCACCAATCTATTCAAGAGAAATGGTCATCTTTTAACTTCGAAAATTATTATCAAAAGACTGCTCTGAAAATTTTTTATGCGTCTAATCCATCTTGATTATATTCTTAACGATAGATGATCTAAATTATTTTTTTATCTTATTTTCAAAGTAAATTTTAACAATCTTTAATTAAATGTAGCTTTATTTTTAGAAACAAAAATATTCCTTACATCAAGAATAGAATAATACTTTGAATAAGTTAATCTAAATAATGTCGTTTCATAAGAAATCAATACATGTACATTGATTGTTGTGGTTTCATCTATTGAATCCATATTTGAATTTGATCAATAGGATTTGAATTTCTGACAATTGAACATGTTGATGGTAGATGATTTTTCAGCCATTGAACTAGATGATCATTATTTAATGTATTTGCATTATGAGATTCATCGACATTGTTGATTGATGATAAATGTTTGAAATACTCACCATCTTCATATTTAATATATAATGCTCGAAGATTAATCATATTTTTAATCAGATTTATAATACATTCACGATTTGTGACTTGAATGAAAAGTATTTCACATCGAACACTTAATGGTGAATGACTTAAAGTAAGACATTCTTCTTCATTGAATTGATAATTATACTGGTTTAAATCAAGTCGACGAATTGATCCAGTTGTATATTTGAATAATGACATTTGCAAAGGTAATGATTTGTCTTGACTAATACTAAGCCTATGAAGATGCGGTGCACGATCAAGCAACGTTTGAAATTGAGATTGAAACGCATCAGAAATAGACGATACTGTAAGTGAAGAGAGTTTTTTTAAACTTGGAACAATAGACCAAAATCGATTATGAATTGGAAATTTTATAGAAAGATGCAAAATTTCAGACAAACAAAAATTGAATGAAAATGGCTGATCAAAAAATCTATCACAATAAATGTTGCGGATAGTATTATAAAACTTTTGATGATCATCTTGTGGATTCGTTGATTTACATGAGTCAGGAAGTTTCGTTTGAAAATGATAATATATTTCAGATAAAGTTTCAAGAACAATACTTCTGCCATATGTAAAACATCGAACAAACCATTTATGTTCATTAATCCAAAACGAACTTTCAAATGAGTGAATTAATTCATCAACTCGTTCTTGTATATTTTGATTGACAGAAAATTTTTGTTTCATATTTAAATAAAATACTTTGAGTTTAGGTAAATAATAACGAATGACTTGCTCCCATTGACAACCATCAATTAAATTACCTGCTAAATTAATCTTTAAGCAATGTAAATTTGATAGATTTTGTAAAAAAGAAATCATTTTTGAATTGTCATCAATATTAAAAATAATAATACTCAAATCATTTAATGTCGGACAAGAAAATAGTTTATGTTGATCATTTTCATCAGAATCAATATATATTGAAAGATGTTTCATACGAGATGCATATAGAAATAATTGATATATTTGATTCCATCGAATCTTAAAATTAGAGATATATAAATTCCTGAGAAACCTAGATAATTTTGTCGGTATATGAAAGTATTGTTGTTTGCCGAAATAACTTTCATAATGACAATGAGTAAGTTTTGATATACTCAAAATATTATTATTAATTAATTGAAAATCCACTTGATCATCATAATATAAATGAAAACTCAAGTTCAGACGAATGAGATTATGAAGATGATGAAATTCTTCAGTAATTTTTAATAATGTTCTACTTGAACGAATATTCCACAAAGTCAGAGATCGTAAATTTGTAAATTGAGATATTGATGGAACATAAGACAAGAAAAGATTGATTTGTTCTGGAGTTAATTCATAGTCCGAAACAGTAAGAGTCACAATTCGATCGACAATAAATGGTATATGATGTTGACATACCAAATCGAATTGACACTTTGAGACAGAAAAAAAGTTAAAATGATAACCTCGAAATTGCTGGTAAAGAAGTAAATTCAAGCGAACATTGATACCATAAAATGCACGAAGAAGGTCCATACCATTAAGATAATCGAATAGATCAAGTATAATTTCATTCGACAATAATTCGAAATTCATCGTATGTTCTTGTCTTTACTTACAAATTGTTGTAACACATGTAGAATAAGATAAGTTAATGCTTCCGTATTACATTAATGACGAACGCCGAAAATGTGGATGCAGACAACATGACTAGTCTGAAATGTTTCGTCTATATGGTATGTCTAGTCCATTTTATCTCTTGATCTTGTTCAGACTAGACAGCAAAAAGAAGAGGTAAGAAAAAAAAGCAAGATAGACGATAAATTCGAATATCTGACTGAAAAGCATTTTATATCTAACGGCTATTGTGACAGTATAGGATAGCTTAGCCATCATCGAAATGTGAACAAGAATATTGTTCCAAGAAATTTCAAATATTTGTGAACAATAACTAGTAGATAATCCGACATATTACTAAGCATCGGCTGATATTGAGAAGATATATATTAGGTCGAAAGGCAAAATGTTGAAAACTCAACCTATAAGATATTATTTATTTTTTTTGTCAATCTGATACAAGTAAAGTTTTTCTTACTTGCGACTTAGTGAATATAAAAAGGAAAAGTGATGATAAACTGTACATGATAAAAGCAGAAATATTGACGAGTTAAGTCTTTGCACACGTTACACGCCGATCGGCTAAACTTATTTTCAAATTTTGCTTTTCATTTCATTTCATATTCTTCTTATCCATCATTGTTTCGTTCTATAATTATTCCATTTTTTCCTTTCTCAACTGTTGTAATTGTTTTTTTTAATACTTTCGTTTTGAAAGCTAATTGAAATTTTGTGATGTTTATTCTCTCGATTGAAAAAAGGATCTTACGACATAAAATAAGTTTGTGTGTTTGTTTGATACTATGTGTATAGTCATATGCCCACTTATATTTCTTAAACACCACAGTAGCTATTTAAGAGGGCTACTATATACTGTATTTTCAGTCAATCACATATTTTCGCCATCTAGATTAGCACATTCACCACGATGGGGTCCACCGGTGGACCCCACTTTGCATTTCATATTTTAATCTCTAAATACGTTTTATTAAAAAAACAACATATACCATAAGATTCAGCGTGAAAAGCTCTACAATTCCCATAGTAAAGCTTATTTTAATGGTGTAATTTTTGTTCTCAAAGAAAGTAAAACTGTGCGTAACTAGTTCTCAAAGTTGCGAAACGGTCATTTTTTCTGCACGAATGTGAAATTTCATTTTTCTTGTTGCATCTTTTTATCACCTAATATTATTTCGTAAGAAAAAACAAAATATAGCACAATATGCAGTGTGAAACGCTCTACAATCTACATCGTAAAGTTTATTGTTTGTTGTCGAAAAAAGTAAAATTCTGTGCAATCAATTTTCGCAACCTCAAAAATTGGTTACACACAATTTTAGTTTATTTTGAAAACAAAAAGTACACAATTGAAATAAGTTTTATGATGTAGATTGTAGAGCTTTTCATCTTGTATCTTGTGGTGTGTTTTGTTTTCTAATAAAACGTATTTAAAGATGTTAGTTTCTATGGAATTTGAATCGTGGTGAATGTGTTAAGGGCATATTTGTTCGTCATCTTAATTACCTGTTGCTTTACCTAAGCAATACTTCTGCAATACAAAAATATACATCATTTTTACAACAGAATGCTGTGTCAATTTGGTCTACGAATCGATGTGAACTAGATGGATTATTCGATCTTGTTTGGAATAATGAATCGTCTAACAGTTGTGATTCTTCACGAAATACGGCTACAATTTCAGCCGGTTGGGATCTGTTGATATCTCTGTTACAAAACTCAAACAATAAGCAGAGATAACAGTATTGTCTAACTGGGTTTGACTTAGTCTAGGCAATTGCATAGATGATGAAAGTTTTACGACGGCAAACGAAGACGATGGTGCTGTTGCTTATGATTATCAATTAAGCTGTACTGGCGTTGGATTCTGTCGTATACGGACCTTATCTGATCAACATCGAACACCTTCAGGATGAGCATATGAAAATGGAACGGCACGCAATGTTACACATACTGACAAATCGGCACTGACTAACTGTTTTCTAAGAAAAGATCAGAGATCAGGACATTATTAAGATAAAAAGACATTAATTCATTCTTCCATTTAACTTATAGACAATAACTGATTTTGTTTCTTTTTTCAAGGTAGTATGTGGAAATGTGTTGAAAGTCAGCTATAAAATTAAGGCTAATAACAAACACTAGAAAGTTGACTATGAACATTCATGAATGTTATCATATTTTTCACACTGAAACTACATTAAGACGATCATAAGGTCGAGTTCTAAAAACACTGGAATTTTTATGTTGATCGACGACACTTCATCGGAATTTGAGAGAAATCCGTTGAAAGTACTCACAAGTTTGAGATGTCGATGCAACAAAAATAGAGACTTGTGTGTCAGCAACATAGAAGCATATAGTTATTTAAAAAATATATGCATTCATCATATTGTATCATTAAAGAAAAAAGGTACAGAAGAAAGATATATTCGCAGAAACAATTTTAACTCTCATCATCTGCGTAATAATCTGTTATGGACTCAATGTCTTCTTCGTCGTTGTTATCGAATACACTTTCGTCCACTTTAGGTATTGTTGTACCGCCTCTGTTGAGTGCATCCTACAAATGGAATCATATAAGAATAGTGAATTTAGTAGCAGAAAAGAGCACTACGCACTGATTGTTTAATGTGAAATACTAAACAAAGCATGGCAATTACGACGGGTATTTCTGTTCTTAATGTCTGCAATTCTTCTTTGATTGTAGTCGATGATAAAAAGTTTCGAATTTTAACCCTAACTTTTCCACTTTGACATCTGTCAAATAATGCAAGTGTGCGATTTGTAATGCGATAAAGTTTGGTTAATACACGGCTTAGTTTATATTTTTCTGCTTTAGACTTTGCGCTAGAATCGAGACTTGATAGTATTTCATTAACAATATATAAATCATCGGCCAAATCTCCAGAAACTTTTCTATTTGATAGAACCATCTCGGCTTTCTCAATGCAACACCCAATGAGACCGATAATCGTCGGAATATCGATTGGAATAGACATTTTTCGGTATCTAAAAGAAACCTCCATTTTAGTTACTATAAAAGCGTGTCATTCGAACGCAATTAAGTCAAAACTTGTGAAATATTTTGAAACGATAAACTATGTAGTAAAAAGATTAGAAGGAAACGAAGAAATGAAAAAAGTGCGCTCAGGTATTGATATGTGTTGTGTTGACTATGAAGCTTTGTATAAATAATCGACTTTCTTTTTAACAACTGCTACCACTACTTTTTTGCCCGCTAGTCTTTTGACAAACTCTTTTCTGATAAAAAAAAGTCAGGGCATCAGTGTTCTTTCTTTTCATTATGCTATTCAATTATTGGAATTATTTAGGTTTTTCTCGAAAGAGATTAAAGAAAAATGTTCCATTCTATCAACTTACATAGTGTTTCTTTCAGCTTCCTCTACTCCCAATCGTAACTACTTTGTAATTGACGTTGTGTTTCACTAGACGCCGACATATATTTTCTCTATTATATAGCAACTTAAAAAATATAAGCTTGGACCTAGGTAAATACTTATACAACGAAAATGATATAATATGGGCTGTTAGACGTTGCATGTTTTATCGCTATATCGATCTAGTGAATTGACATCTCAATTCTGATTACTTGGCACAATGAAGAACTATTCTTCATAAGATACCTATCAATTCTATCAGAGTAAGCCTTTGTATCGAGAAGGACAACAATGCCTATGTTG